GAACGTTATAAAATTACTCATAAGGCAACAAACACAATAGCTAAATTATATAGCAATACTAAAACTAAAATTAATAATAAAGACAAATTTAATGTAGTGTACCAGCTGAATTGTAAAGGTGACGGGTACAATGTATGTAACAAAATATATATAGGTACGACTAAAAATAAGCTTAGGACAAGGATGGCTGGACATAAACACAGTTTAAAAAATAAAAGTGGTGCTGAAGCCAATACAGCATTGGCTGTGCATTGTATGGAGCATAAACATGAACCTGATTTTGATAAGGCAAAAATTTTATATGAAGAAAGGAACCATAATAAGAGGTACTTTCTAGAAATGCTCTCAATACTTCAAGTGCCCAATAATATAAGACTTAATTATAAAACTGATACGGACAACTGTGCTCAGGCTTATAGGAATATTATAAACAAATGACACAGGATGTTTGTAAAGCTTTTTTGTTTTTTTTATAATTTTAATTTTTCTTTTGTATTTTTATTGTAGTATTTTTTTTTTTTTTCTTGTCATCATTATTATTGTATTTATTGTATGATTTTTCTTTATAATCCGCTATAAAAATGTGAACATCCTATATTTTGTGTAGTTTTCCCTGAAGATGACTATCGAAGATAGTCGAAATATCGGAAATAAAGTATAAACGATTTTTAAATTTAAATAATAAATTAGTGTCTTTTTATTTATATTAAAATTTGACCAATTAGCCCGGTAACAAATTATTAAATTTATTTTCTTATATTGAGCTCTGTCAAATCGGAATAGACAATAAACAATTTTAAAAAGTGACTAAATACTTAAAATTTTTGTGAGGGACTGTGCTCAGTAGTACATCCGTCTGTTGAAGTCGAACACATTAAAGTTCCAGTGGCGTGTGAGCGTTCTGCCTTCTATTATCATTCTGCTCATAAAGTGGTTGGGATGATACGGTTTTTGTGTTTACTGGCTTGGCTTTTTATAACATCCTTAACTACGGGAATGTTGAGATCGCGATGTATGCATTCATTTGTTATATATCTAGGAGCATTTAAGATGAATATAAGGGTTTTTGATTGAAAACGTTGGATAATATCAATATTTGAAGATGCAGCAGTTCCCCAGAGTTCAATGCCATATGTCCAGATTGGTTTGAGTATAGCTTTGTAAATAAGAAGCTTATTTTCGACTGAGACCTGTAAATTTTAGAGGTCCCGCAGTCTGATGCCAAGTGCTTTTCTATTTGTAAAAATATGGTGCTTCCAAGTTAGTTTCGTATCAAAGTGTATTCCTAATATTTCGCTTGGGTAGATTGAGCGATTAACACATTGTTAAGGCGTACCGGTGGGCAATTTTTCGTTCTCATTGTAAAAGTTATTTGTGAAGACTTACTCATTTGCTTTTATTCTCTAGGTTTTAAGCCACTAGGAAATGTCATCTAGCGCTCGCTGAAGTTTGTTGGGTGCTAACTGGTGATTTAAGTGTGTAGCAATTATCATAGTATCATTAGCAAAAGTTCCAATGTCAATACCAATGGTGGTAGGCAAGTCGATAGTAAAAAGTAAGTATAACACAGGTCCCAAGACACTGCCTTGTGGCACTCCAGCCTGAATTGGCCGCAAAGTTGAAATTTCTTCCCCCTGTTTTACAAAGAAATATCGTCATTCCATGTAGGATTCTAAGAAAATGTAATAATTAGTTGGGAGCATCTTTTTAAGCTTAAACAATAGACCGTTATCCCAAACTTTATCAAACACCTGGGATATGTCCAGAAATGCTGCTGTGCAGAACTTCCTTTTGTCAAATGCTGTGTGTATAACATTAACCACTCTCTGTACTTGCTCTATTGTACTGTGCTTTTTTCTAAAACCAAATTGATGTTCCGGAATTAGTCTCCTTCTATTGACAATGGGCATTAATCTGGTAAGGAATAAATTTTCCAACAACTTGGACATAACCGGTAGAAGACTAATTGGTATATATGACTTAACATCTTTAGCCATTTTTCCAGGTTTAAGTACCATGCTAATTTGAGCCACCTTGAATTGAGGGGAGATAAAGCTTTTTGTTACGATAGAATTAAAAATGTTCCGCAGTAGAACTATTGGTTGATCCAGTAACTCCTTTAATATTTTTGAAGTAATTAGGTCATATGTTAGCCGGGTGCTATATTAATTTTTAGTTTTTCGATTTCGAATTCTATGTCGAAAATCGAGAATTTTCGTATTGGAAGGTCCAGTTGGTGCGTTTGCTGTAATACCTCTCTAATTTCTTGTTATACCATTCGGGGCTTCATTAATGTTTGGAATAAAAACTGTAGACAGATGATCCGTAACTAATTTCCTTTTTTCTATATCTGTTCGGGCCCATTGCCCAAGTTCATTTTTTACTGGTGGTTTGTGCGTTGATGCCTTTTTTTTGATTGCTTGCCAGAGTGAGTAGTTGATGGAAGTAGTTGCGTCTAGTCGTTGGAGATTTCTTTGTATTTCCAAATTTCTGGTTGTTTACAGATGTCCTTTTAGATTTTTGATCAGCACATTGAAAAGTTTTTATCTTTTGGGGATTTGGTTTGTTGCCAGCGCCTTCTCGCTGCTCTTTTGGCTATAATAAGTTCTTGAGTCGTACTACATAATGGTGTAGCGAATTTTTCCATGTTTGGAGGCGTGGATCTCCAGGCTGATTGTTGAATATTCCTTATAAGATGTTCGGTTTCAATTTCTTCGTCTGTTTTAAACGCCATTTTTACATCAAATAATGACTTAAGTGTATGCCTAAAGGCATCCTAGTTGGTTAATTTGTTGTGCAGATAACATTTGTAAGCTTTAGGTTGTATATTCGATTTTATTCGTAATAAAACTGGCGAGTGATCTGATGAAAGATCAAAGCTTGATTTACAGAATGTGTCATTTTGTATTTTTTTTGGATCCGCGGGCCAATAAGTTGGCTCTCCAGATGAGATAGTTAAAAGATTTTCGCTTCTTATAGCCGCAAGCATCTGCCGTCCTTTAGGTGTTGAAAACCGAGAGCCCCATTCAACGTGTTTAGCATTAAAATCTCCCCCCACAATAAATCTATTACCTAGAGTTCTAAAGAATTTTATGTATGTTGCCGTGTTAGTTGCGTGTTTTGGTGGACAATATACTGATGTTATTGTGATTGGGCCACACCAATCTTTTGTTGAAATGCTGGTTGCTTGAATCTCTTCAGTGCGGTATTGTTGCAATTCAAACTGTAATATGCTTGTTTTAAGTGGATATGTGGCTATATCTGTTTGAAAATCAAAAGCTACAAAACCCTGACTACTGGAGACTGCGAGATGTGATGTGAGTCATGTACATAGAATCCAGTTTCAGATACTTTTACGTAAGGATAGAAATCCTGAAAGCATCAAAGCTTTCGATACTTTGACTTGTCTGATCACATAGCATACATCATCATGGGAAAATAGAATGGTGTTGTTTTAAGCTATTAGCAAAAATATTCGGTACAGAAAGCCGCCAAAGTTGCTTTGCATAATGTTTTAGATTTTAATGGTAGTTCACAATGTACCATTCTAAATGTTGTTATCTAAATAGTCTTTTCATTTGTTATGTAGTTGATCACTCATAATTTTTGTAATATCTTTGTACAGAGTATCTTTGCGAGAATTGACTATGTTCAATCTACAACGATGATTACGTTCTTCGACAATTAACAATGTCTAAACTAAGTAATAAGATGCCTCAACAAGAAAGCCCAGTTCGTCTTTTTGAAATATCTATAGATCTGCACGAGCTTTCCCAAGAACCAAGATAGATCGAATAGTGGTAGTGAAAGTAAGACCACAATAAATAGTGAGACTTTAAATAATGCAATACAAAACGTGAGTCCCTATCTAACAGATATATTTGGCGTGTGCTGTTGGGGGGCAACAGTAAAACAAGTCAAACAGGGTTCAGATCTAACCAATCCTAGTATTAAAAAGTCCTTTAAAGCTAACATTTTACTATGTTACATCCCAACATAGTGGCGAAGTGTTAAAGTAGCATTAATTTCAAAATCAGATATAGTTGACTTGATAAAGTTTCCTTTGCATTAGTATTATTTGTACTAAAGAATCTGGAAAGAATAGGTGCAACTTATATCGAAAGAAAGAGAACCTGTGTCAAAGTTCCTTTTACAATATTCGCAACATGCTTACCAATGTGGTAAATTCTGTAAAATCCTATTGGGCAAAATATAAAACGCGGAAGCTCTTTTTTAAAGGCATGTTGATATTAATGGGACGTTTGACAATGCTTGTGTAAAATCCAACTTTTAGTATGGATCAGAAACTTGATTGATCAAGAGCGAAATATAAAGAAAACTTCACAGCTTTACCAACAGATTCCTGCTTAATAGAGAGGAGACTGAATTTATTTCGTAAATAGACAAACATATTTCTTGTAACACCTACTTCGATTAGTTTTATTAAACCAACTTTCATATATTTCATATCATTTGAACGGTACTCGAAGTACCTTACCATGCTCTTTATATAGTAAATCAGTTCACAATTATATGTGCTATCGTTGATTGAAGTCTTCACAACAACAACAAGAATATAATTCATATTTATATAAATTTCTAATTTTATAATTTATATAATTTACATTGATTTTTCATTTTTGCAATAGCAAATTTTTATATATATTTTTGATATAAAATTTATAAAATATTTTTGATATAAATTTATAAAATTTGTGTTCTACTAAAAACATACTTAAAATAAAAAGCATAGCGCTAGCGTTGTGATAATTTGAATCAGATTTAAATAACGAAATATATACTAATAACTATTATATTAAGACCGAAACGTAACACACCATCAAAATAAAGCGAATTAGTAAAAACAATTTTTTTATTACGAAAGTTACAAATTAAAATTCAAAAAAATTTGGAGTGTTAACAACCCAAGGTCAGAGTAGCGCACACAATACTAGTATAACATATATAACTATAATAAAAATTATAACATATTAACTAACCGGCCATAAGCGAAGCGTCGATCTTTATCATGATCACCAAACGTATCCCAAAGTCTTAAAGACACATTTACACCATCCACTACTTCCCACGAACGTTCTAATACCTGTTAAATATTGAAACTGAATTTATTACATTATTTTTAGTTTTATAAGAAAACTTACATCTTTATAAATTCTATACTGATCAATTGCCCAAACTGTAGGCACATGTGTTGAAAGCAATTGTGAGAGAGATACATGCTTATTGCATGCTCTTGCACATATCAATCGAGTTTTTCCAACTGCAGTATCACCAACTAGAACACATTTTACCAGTTCTTGATGCGGTTGTTCGTTGTCCATTTTATCATTACCAAATTCTAATAAACATATATAAATTTTCAAATTTTAATAAATTTTAGATAATTATGTACATATGTCAGTCATTAAGTATTTTTTACAGTTCATTAACGAAGACACATATATTAACTATTTATTCAAGGACACATTCATTAACTATTTTTAGAGTTTATAAGTTCTAAGAAATAATATTATACTTTTAAGTTAGTAACTTAATAAGAGACAATTTTATCATTAATAAATTACTGTCTTACACAAGCTCAAACTATTCAGTATTTAAAATCAATCAAGATATCAATTTTAAAATCTTATCGAAGTGCATTTCAGACATCCGACAGAAGTTATGAAAGCGTTTAACATCCAGTTCTTTGAAAAGCGATGTGCATACACGATTTATTTTATTCAGAAACTCTGACATCTAATATTTACGCTTTTTTTTGGTGCCCTCAGATATAACTATGAAAGCAGCACTAGCTATAATCACGTTATTGCTAATTTCTTTATATATTATTATATTTATACTTTATATACTTTACATATTATATAATAAATTATATAATGTAATTACAAACACGACTAATCGCGTTTGTTGCACAAAACAACAAATCAAATGAAGGAACATTCATTTGCATATCATCCACAATCTACAAATGTACAATAAAATTGTGCGCATGTTCTATTGTGTTAAGTAGACCTCCAGATCACATAGCAAATGTAAGCGAACGAACGATCAAACTCTACACAAATTTCTTGTCCAACGCAAATCCTTCCGAATGCTAACAAACACTACAAATCGATTCGTTCGAGTTCGCGTTCGCAACCGTTCGTTTAGGTGTGGACGTACCTTACCCATATACAACAACAACTAACTTTTTATTTAACTTTACATGTTTGACATTTAATTTCATATTTTACATCTCATTGACCAACGTCATCTACGATGGCTGTAACACTTACCTCACCGCACTCTTTGCGAATGTCTTATGGGAATCGGAGTTACTGACACTTCAGTCTCGTTCGGAATCGGGATCGAAAGAATCGGGGTTACTGACACTTCAGTCTCGTTCGAAATCGGGATCAAATGAATCAGGATTACTGGCACTTTAGTATCGTTTATTTAAGTGTTTTCCTTGTTTACAAAAGTCGGAAATGTATGTATTCGGTTTGACTTGAGTTTCCCCTTTTTTCCCCCACTAACAAAGTTTGTGTTAAATTTGGCAAGTTGCTTCCAACTCTTCGTAATTGATCTGTATGCCTTTTCCACACTCGGTTATAGTTCTGTTGAACGTCATAATGTAAGTCGCTTACTGATATCAAAATCCTACCAAAACGTCATTTCTTGATTTTATTTGCTGGTAACAACAATTCTAACAGTGTTTGAATTTGTCGTCCAAACATAAACATTGCCGGAGATTTATCAGTTGCATGGTGAATCACTCGTCGATAAGCCATTAAAATTTTTGAAATATCATCTTGCATACTTGCTGCTGTACAGTTTGCAGCTTTAAGTTTCGTTTTTACCGTTTGAACAAATCACTCTGCTTGCCCGTTAGTAGGCGGATGATAACGAGCACCTTGTTTATACCATTGCTTTTTAAATAGTGTTGAAACACTGTAGAGTTAAATTGCGTTCCATGGTCTGAGACCACTACCTTGAGATTCCAAACGTTGCAAAAATTTTACGGCACGCAGATATTGTAGTTTCTGATGTAATGTTTGGAATTATATGCACTTCAGGTTATATGCACTTCATTTGCTGTACGCATCTACCAATATTAAAACATATTTCCCGCAGATTGCCCCAGCGAAATCCACATGCACTCGCTCAAATACTTTTCTTGGTCGTAACCAGTAATGTACCGGTTCCACTTTTTATACTTCAGCCCTTGTAAGTTCACATGCTGGACAGTTAGACACTAATCGATCAATATCGCCATCCATCTGCGGTCACCAGCAATATGCACGAGCTAACGCCTTCATTTTAGCCATTCTGAAATAAGCAGTATGAAGTTCTTCTAGTACCCGTTGTCTTAATTTTATTGGAATGTACACTCGATCACCTTGAAATAGACAACCTTTTTGTAACGAAAATTCAACTTGCGGTACACCAAATCGTTTTGTAGTGTCACATTTACGTCCACACTTCAAACAATGTAAGAGATGTACTATATTTAAGGTTTGCGATGCGAATTGTATTGGACGTTCTGCTTCATCTGAATTTGTTTTTTTACTTCTTCAAATACTTTTTCATATTGTTCAATATTAAATTTCGCATTCTTGTGAAGCAACCGATTTAATGGATATACGATCTTACTTAAGTTTTGTATAAATCTTCTATAATAATTTACTAACCCCAAAAATGAACGTATCTCGTCCTTACTCTTTGGTTTTTTAATCTTTTGAATAGCCTTTATTTTGCTATTCAACCACAATAACCACAATATTGTATTATGTCCACCAAAAACTCCGATTTAATCCAATATACACCCCATATATCGTTGACTAGTCTATCCATGAATCGTCGCTACTTGGCTGTCGCGCAAGCAACACCAAACATCAATCGTGTAGGTTGGTAAAGTCCTCTATGAGTATTTAATGAAAACAAGTGTCGATCATTCGCATTGATTTCCAATTGCAAGTAAGCTGTTGTGATAAGTCAATTTTTGAAAATTTGTCTCCAAATTCTATCACTCATCGAACTATAACGAACCTTTCTCACCGAGGTTTTGCTCGCCGGATTCCAAGTCCAGTCCTACAATAAAATTTGTTGAAACCGTGACACTTTCACTTGAATTATTATCAGTCATTAACACCGTTTCATTTCTTCAATTTTTCCTTTTTTCTTTTTATCCTCGTCGCCAATTTGTTAGAGTAGTAAATAAAACATGTGAACACTTCATCTTTCATTCACATGTTGTTGTTGTTGTGATTTGAGTTAGCGCACTTTTACTCTTTTGTAGATGGAGGAATTATCCCTGTCCCACACTAAACTTTAACTATACTAGAATCTTTATCATTTATTTATCTTCTAACTGATGACGGACCGTAGATTAGCATATTGTGGCGAACATTCAAGCAATGAAGCTTATGAAAAACTTAAACAGCGATATAAATAATTACTGCACTTTATAGCACATCTGGCATCTCTAATTTGATCAGAGTTCGAATTTTCGAGTAATGCAAAGCAAAATACCAAAATGGACTAACGGAAAAAAACGACAACAGTTTTGCTTGGCGCCTTTTCGGCTCGACATACTTTGATTTGAATTTGCTTTGACTTTTGTTGTTAAATTTTAATTTTTGTTTTATCTTACTTTAAATTGTTACTTCGTTAATATTCAAATATAGAATAATTTAGTCGTGCACAACATACTTTTTTTTAATATAATTGTGAAATATACACGTGCACCACGACAATATTTTCCTTTGCGTCATTCATTCACATACTAACTTTTTATTTAACTTTACATGTTTGACATTTAATTTCATATTTGAAATCTCATTGATTAATGTCAACTACGATGACTGTAACATCTATATTTACAGTACTGCTTTTCAATAGCCTCAGTTATTATTACAATTTTTTAAAGTAATTTTTATAATTATAAATTATAATTTTTTTACACAAGAAAGTAGTGTAACGTTTCAAATTTGCCAATGCCATATACATTGACGAAAGTAGGAGTCTGAACTGACAAAAACATTAGTTACTTTATACCTGAACGGATTCTAATAACGAGGAAATTTTAAAATTCGAACACTTAATTTTTTAGTCGTGAATTTTTTTGAATATTGCCAAATATTAGTGGTTTTGGTTAATATATTGCACAATATAAAAAAATTATAGATTTCTTGAAATTCAGAAAAAAAAATAAATAGAACCACATAAATTTACAATATGTGTAATACCTTTACTATTAGTAAAGAACAGCAACGATAACGAAAACTGAATTTAAGTAGTAGAATTTCTAAAATTGAACGAAAAAAATAAAGAATGGCGTTACCTTTGACGAGATTAGAAGACGTATAAAAGACGTTTCGAAAAAAGTGGATTAAAGAATGAGTCCAGTTATGTAACTGCCTTCTCAACTAACACAGAGATATTATGTGTCATTATCAAGATTAATTACAAACTCACTTCTTTATGCCAATGAAATAATAATAAGAATCCACTGTATAGAGAAATAATGGAATATTCTTTGTTGCGTAGATTTACATAAATGATTATTATGTTCCATGACTCGTTCAACGTTGTCACTCGCGGTGCCCTAAGAATCGTTGAAGATGAAAGTTGCTTTTAAACGGTCAATGCTAATGTTACTCTTTCGGCCATCTACGTCGATCTTAAAAAATTTTTTGTTTTTCTCAAGCAAATACTGATTTAGTCTTTTGCAGTACAGCAACTCCCAACGAAGTGCAAATCACAACCACGGTATGAAAACATTCTTCAACAAGGTCTAAGATGACACGAGGGTTTTCAATTATTGAAATGAACAGATTTTGGTTTCATATGAATTGTTCTATTGCGAATGCAGCAGCAGGAAACGCTTTTTTTAGTTAAATTGGCTTTGATGGGATCTAGTCTGCATGCGGAGAGTGTGTCTTCGGAATGCAAGAATCTAATCAGTATAAATATGCAAGCATGAATGTCGCACTGTTTATTACATCCCGCGCACATAACAGATGTAGTGTTTCTGCAGGTCCTTAGAGATCGCCAGAAGGGGTGCTAGTTTTTCTAGCAACAGAATTAGATTCAACTCTATTACCAGTAGAACGAGATTCAAGTTCGCAGACTTGCTTTTTTGGGAAACATACAGATGCGGTCAAAATAATAGCACCAAATGTTCAACTTCTACTTATGCCGAAATTATTTTCTTATATTGCTTTTTTTTCTTGCATTTATATATTGCACCATGTAAACTGAAGTATTTTAAAGCAACTATCTATTTAGTTCGTTTAAAAAACAAAAAGCAACATTTTATCTTGCTTATTTGTCTTGCTAATCTAGTTTTGCTTACGTGTTCAAAATAATAGCACCAAAAGGAGAAGTGCGCTAATAATTAAAATTTTAGTTGCAAATAAAGTGCAAGTAATAGTTAATGTTACAAAAAAACATAATATAACAAATTTGAATTTTTTTAGTTGAATGAAATTAGCAGAAATGGGTAAAGGTACACATTGTCTGCATGAAACACATAAAATTATTCAAAATCTGATTCTAACAGTAAAACCTACACCGAAATAAGAAAAATTGTTGGATGTACGAATAAAATGATTAGAAACACAGAAATCTATAGTTCCAAAATCAAAACACGTGGGCAGCAACCAGTTATGACTATTAGAAAGGTTCTGAAACTGACACGGGCTAGCGGGTCCGTGTCAATTTGGCGATGCTAATGTAAAAATTTGCTTTGGTGTTATTATTTTGACAGCAACCGTATATATAATTATAAGGTACCTACAACGTATATATACCCGAATTTTCTGTTCGTAAATCAGCGGCAGGAGAAGGTAATCTACAATTTATAGAATCAACAAAGGATAAAGAACTGTATCTTAATATATTAAAGCAAAATTTGCATAAAAGTGCCGAATATTTAGGCATAATTAACAATTTCTGTTTCTACCAGGATATCGATCCGAAGCACAAGTCGGGTCTTGTGCAGACTTGGCTTGTTGGGAATTGTCCACACACCTCCCCAATTGCCTGACTTTAATGTCATAGCAAATTTATGGCATATTCTGGAAACTAACATAAGAAAACATAACATTTATAGCAAGGAAAGTATGAAAGCTGCTTTAAAATTGGAATGGCAAAAAATATCAGTGGAATATACTCAAAAATTAGTTACTTCAATGCATTCAAGGTTGGAGGCAGTAATTAAACAAAAGGGCTATCCCACTAAATACTAAAATTCACTTTTTTATGCCAAAAATTATTAATTTTCTAAAAAAAATGTATTGCACGAAATAAGCTGTAAGGTCAGAATTTGGTGTATGTTTGTTTTTGTTCACTTAACTTCTTGAATATTGATATTTTTGCTAATTTTTTTTGTTTTATAATAAAAACTAAACATTCTTTAAAGTTGCATATTTCAAATTTTTTATTTTGAACAAAATTTTGGATTTTCACGACTAAATCTACAAAAATATTGCTTGCACGAAATAAGCTGTGAGCCACTGTAGTTATACATATACAATCATCATTGCATTAAATTTATTTGTATTTGTTCTCAAACACTTGAACAGCGTACGCATTAATATCGATCAATCCGAATACTGACTGTGTCTTATTCCAAAAGAAAAATAATTCGCAGCATACTCAGCACCTTCTGAAGGAACTATCAAAGGCAGAAAGTTTGAATGGAAGCATATATACATATAACTAACACATTAAATGTCTAGGAATCACTAATTTACAAGTAATGCTAGGAATCATACAAGTATACAGATATTTTAATTTTCTGCCCCAGTTAAAAATATTAATTCTAACTAGTTGATGAATAAATACGATGAATTTGCAACTTTATCCTGAATATATTAATTAAACAATTACTTTCTATGTTACAAGAATGAATAACTAATTTTGCAACTAATACATTTTTGGGGTCTCGAAATACGTTTTTTTTTTTTTGTCAGATTTATAATATTGATTACTACTTTAGGGTAAAGTATGATTAGGCGGTTCTCAATATGTTCAACAGATTGAAGCCAATAAAAATTCGAGGATGGACGAAAACACGATATAGCAAAGGATTTCAACCCAAACAACTAAACTTTTAAAAGCTGTTGATATCTGCTTAAGAAAGTAGCAAATCCTTCATGCATGCATGGTGTATGAAATTTTAAAACAAGAAACTTAATAAAGAGAAACCGAAGTTTAAAAAAGGCAAAGAGGGTACTACTGCAAACGATATATATCCCTGGAGGAATAAACACTTGTTGACACAGATATTTTACGTAATGTAGAAATAAGTTGTAGCAGTGCATATACAAATATAAAAGCAGTGTACTCAACTTTCCAATAACCGTTTTCAGAAATAAACCTTCCCACAAAGATAAAATGGAAAAACAAAAACAAAGCGCATGAAATTATATTCGAAAGTTCAACACTCTCGTTTATAATATAAGCAAGAAAAACTGTTTAATGCGAAAATGTTCACACAGCAATTTGCAAAACTCCATCACTAGGAACTGCAAACACTGTTCTTCTAAAATTTTGTTAATATATTTAGTTTTAAAAAATATATTTTGATCGCATTTTAAACTCTATTACCTGATTATTTATTATAAATTGTTCTAGTATTCCATATAACCTTTACGTATCAGTTATAATATTGTACTTTAAATATGGAATGTGATATAAAATAGTAATTTGTCGTTTGAAAATACTTCCATAGAATCGTTATATTATTGTTTTTTACTTAGTACAATAAAATTAATTGCTAATGGGACCAATTTTCCACATATAGGATAACATTTAACTCTTATTTTAAACGTTAAAACCAAATTTGTTTTAACTTAGAATACACATACGTTCATAAAATTTACCTTTAATATTCTATCAATTTGCAAATGATAATTACTTTGATCTAAAAACTGCAATCCACATTCGATCGTAAATTATTCAAACATATTTTCGTGAAACTAGAATATTGTTTTCTTCAGAGAAGTTATAAAACCTCATAAACAACAAATTTGTCCCGAAAATGTATTTATATTATATTATAGAATACACTCCTTTCATTTAATGTTTTTATGTTTATACAACCGACATTATTTTAGGGACAATTTTAAAACTTGACATCAATATATAATGCTTCAATATAAATTATACTAAAAATTTCTAAAAATATGTACGCAAAAGTAATTAACGCTTTAAGGTTAAGTCACAATGAACTTGTAAACACCATTTTTAATAAGAACCTATATGTACGCTTGATATAAATACGAAACGATATCACATCTTTCATTCTGCCTTGTTCACAATGGCCATTGCAACTGCGAGAAGTTTTAGGAAAGTGGAACTAAACTCGACACGATTTAATTAATTTTTGAGCTTTTGAGAGGTTCCACACGTACTGCAGAGGTTTTCCATGTATTTAAGCACATTTTGTATCGTTATGGATTTGCTTGCATATTCAACGAAAACGAATATAATTAAGTAAATAATTTCATATATATATTACACTGCGTCGTCACAAATCAGAGCGACTTCTTCACATTAAATGTTTTTTTATGTCATATTTAAATATCTTGTAATTATAAGTTAAGCAATACACATTTGCAGGTAAAGTGCATTCTTCTAAATAGTATTGTTTTCAAAAATTGATCAACTAATTAAAAAATGAGTTATACTGCCTATTGTGGGTTGTCTATTGCTATGTTCAGACAGACAAATTCCCTTAATTTCTTTAAAATTCAATAAAGTTTATTTAGAAAATGTCCATAGTGCTCCGAATTAAGGAAATCATAGGTTTTTGTTTACAAATCAAATGTTAAAAATTACATGCTTAAAATCAATAGAAATTTTTCTATCAGCAATAAATAAATTTGTCTATTACGTTTGAGCTGTAGAAGCTTGTCGATTAGATAAAAAAAATGCTGCTGAATTGCTTAAACAGTCACTTTAACATAGAAATTTAATATGATTGCATTCAGTATTTAGTAATGATTCATTAATATTTTTTTTTGCTTAGCTGCTTAATATATCGGCTTTAAAGTGTAATATATTATATTTTGAGAATAATAGTTGTTGTATTTTTGTTTTCTTATTTGCTTTTGTGTGTTTGTTCTAATATTTTAAACAAAAAAGTCTTCCTGTATTTACCGAAACTGTGTATACAAATATTTCTTAATTTTTCAAATATATTCGTGGGCGAATGATATAGGTATTTAAATAAAATTACAAAATAATAAAAGGCAACCACTAATCAGGCAAGACTAGATCTGCTAAAGACACAAACGAATGCTCAAAACCTTTTTTATAAAGGTATATCTAGGCGCCTGGAACGTGTTGAGAACTTGCTTTTGAAAGAGAAAAATTAAAATTGTATAATGAAAATGGCGACAACAAAAAATAAATAGTTCCATAAGCTTCAATTGCTTTAAAAACAAGTCAAAATTAATATTAAATCTAATACAAATATTTTGTAAATATTATAATATATATAATGTAAATATTACTAGTAATTATAATATTATTATTACTATATATACACACACACATATATATATATATATATATATATATATATATATATATATATATATATATTTATATTCAATGTTACAGTATTATAAAGTTTAATATATTGGCTTAGCTCTTTAATAGGTGTATTTTTTTGACATGAATGCTCCAATAAAACACGTAGTGCTTAAAAAAAAGCAAAAACAAAATTGGGTAAAATACTACGTTTTCACTACTTGCTTAGTAAGTTACTTAGTAAATTACTTAGTAACATTAAGTTTTTTTTCGTTTACATTATCACAAGTTACTTAAGGAATGGGGAAAAACTTGTATGTGTCAAAAATTTCTAGTTGTAGAGCTTTTCTTTCTTTACATTTTTATTGGAAACAGATGACATTAAATTATGTATTGTTAGATGCAAAAAAAATTATCATGGAAAACGCAGAAAATTTAAATAACTTAATATACAATGTTTGTGATATTATTCACAATATAAATACAGCAGTTATGTAGCATATATAAAAGAACAGGCAATGATTTATAAAAAATTACAAATTATTCAAAAACAACAAATAACAGTGCTTTCTTCAACGAATACTAGACACCAAAGGAAATGCTGAATCAAAGAATACTTGTGTTCTTTATGCTGGACTTTGGTAAGTACGGGCAGTAAATATTAGGCGTATTCGGTGGCTCGCAAGTACCGCATAAAACAGCAAGTTGTTGGCATATGCAGGCCTATACTGGCCGCAATGTATGCAAAACAACAACACTATTTTCTCTACCTCGGCCAGCATAGTTATGCCAACCACATCGGCCAGTAAAAAAAAAAATGTTACCAACGCAATAAGCGAACTATTGTGAACCTTCATTGAAAATTCCAACGAATAGTGCAATCAAATGTCAAAAATTGAGGAAATAAAAATTCAAACAGAATTCAAAAATTTGAAAAATCTTGAAAAGTAACGAAGAAATAATAAGAATGGAGAAATCGTAAGTATTAAGCACATTGAATTTTTTATTATGTTAGTTATTACCAAGTTACATTTATTTTATTTCATTTAATTTGTAGTTTACATACGTAAAATTAATAAACAAACATAATTTTCGAAGTTTTTCTAAAAAAATTTTTTATAGAAAAATTTTTTCTAGAGTGCTACTTGACACGAAAGGAAGAGAATCTTCAGAGGAGGTTGTTGCGGCATTCATAACATTTAAAAAATCCGTGAAACAACTTGCATCTCTCGGCCACTGCAAAACGTTGCTTTCTTCTCCCAACATTGACAGCAAAGAAGATAAAGAAAAGAAACTGAGAGTTACTCGAAAAATTGTGTATAAATTTTTCTGGATTATTCAAAAAATATTCAAAAATTTTGTGTAATGAGGTGAAAATATTACGCAGTACAATAACAAAAAGCCTAATGCTACATAATGGCGCGTGAATATTTTCCCCACCCGGACCCTGCTACTTTGCCCACCCGGTCCCTACTCACCACGATATTTGCTAAAGTAAGAGAGGTTTCTGAGAAATTTCGTTGTTTGTTTTGGTTTTTTGACATTAAAAATCCGTTACGAGAAAATGCGCCAAAGTTGCAATTAAGTGCACAAATACCACATTACTAAAAGAAAAATAAGGCGGAATTTGTTTTCAATTATAAAAGCATTAAAAAAAGGTAATTATTCCAGAAAAATATATGAATTATTAGTTAATTAATATTTATTTACAATTGAAACGGAAGTGCGTACTTGGATGTTTAAATTTCAAACATCTCTATATTTTTCCAAAGGATTATCGAAGGTATATTATTAATTAAAAATAACGCAATTTATTGTTGTAGAATAAAGTAAATATATAAATGTATTAACACATTAGAAACTTAGATGTGTGCCTAATTAGTGTATATAATAAACTACGAATTAAGTTGTGCTTTTATTTTTTTATTTTTTCCATGATATACTAATAATTATAAAAAAGGAAAAATCCTGAAGAGAAATTAATATTATTAATTATACTTTGATTGAGTGTTGTTATTATATATACATATATTGAAAAATTAGAATCACAATTTTTGGATCAGTTCGACAGCAATTGCTATAAATTAGGTTTAGCGCAACATTTATTTAATAAATTAGAAAACGTTCATCCCTATATATGTTGTTCTAATTGCAAAATTGAAACTCTTCTATCTTTTTTCATTAAATTAAGAATTTACTTCATTTTAAAATATTTCAATCAAGATAATAAAGTGCCGGATTTTAAATATAAACAATTATGCTTTCAACACTTATAAACAGCACAAAAGTGTTCATATTCTTTAAGTGATTTTTTGCTTAAACAAAAAATATTTTAGTTTTAATTTTATAATTTATTAAATTTATTTATAATTTATCTTTAATTTAATAGTTCCTTATTATTTTTGGTTTAATATTAAATATTTTTAAAATAGTAATATTATTTTGTATATATTAAGTTATTCTAAATTGTATTTACATAAAATTGTATATTTGTTAAATAAAATATTTTGGTGGATAGGCCTATTGGGGAACCGAACACCTAAAACTCGGTAACACGCCAGCAAGCATACCTCTTAGGTGGTGCGGAAAATGCTTATATATTTAATATTTCTTCTAACACTATGCGATGAAATTGATCCTTATTGTTTACAATGTTGTTATTAACTAGTTAAGAATTTCTTGAATTTCATATACAAAATACATTTCACCTTACTGAAAGGATTGCTTAAAACTACAAAAAAAAATGTAGTAGTAAACAGTATGTACATTTTCACGATTTTCTATTTTGAAAAAATTTGATGCACAAGCAAAAATTGTATTACAATATACCAAACTTTTTTTGAATTTTAAAAAATTATATTAATATTAATCTTTTTAAAACAAAATATTAAAACAATGCAACCTAATACTCGAAATGTATGAACACATACTAACTTTTCTATTAGATGCTCAGCATATATATAAATATAGTACGTATATGTGCAACATGATTAAAAGAACTTTTATTTTAATAAATACGATACAATTTTTTTAACTTTATTAAAACAATTTCATGACTAATTATATATACATATTTACATATATCAATAATAGCTACTTTATATTTACTATTGATTTTAGTTTACCAATTCTTCATTTATATTTGATTTATATAGCGCATTTAAAACTTTTATGTAAATTGAAGTAAAACTGATATAAAAAATCATGCCTATATTTACTCATTATAATCGTATTAATATATACAATGGATTTTCCAAGAACAATAAATTATACTATTTCTTCTAATTAGAAGAAATGGCTACATGCTAATATGCAACCACAAATGTAGTAAATATTTAGGTTATAAGCCACACCGTTTTTAATATTTGACAATTCTGGTATGGTAAATAAGTAAAAGAGATTTTCTTTGCGATATTACACAAAGAGGCACCATTATTCAAAATTTCCTCTCAGTTTCTTTTCTTTATCTTCTTTGATTGACAGTACCTACAAAAATTTACTTATCTTAGTGTTTTATTTTTAAATTTCTAATATTCTTACCATTCCTTTTAATTCCGTGTTCATTTTAATTTTATAATATAATATTTATAATATTTATGCACATATACAAGATTTGCTGTTTGTCAAAACAAAACATTTGACAGATTGCAACAGTGATGCCAATGACTCGCGTGACCAACATAGGCCAACATGCATTTTTTGCCGTACTTGCGAGCCACCGAAAAGGCCTATTATTAAATAAAGAGTAATATTTAAATGAATTGCTGTTTAAGAAAAGAACGAAGAAGTTTTGGGAACAACATTGCCAAAAAAAAGTTCCTGAGTTTATAAATATATATAAATCATTAATTTAATTTATTTAATACGATATTTTGTTGATAAATTGACAAATATTATATTGTGAGTATATTGTTCCCTTATGTAATATAGTTATTATTAATGAAACATCTAAT